GGAACGCAATGCCAGGGCTGGGTCCAGGCAGAGCTCTTTTGACTGCACCCCAGGACAAAGTCTCTCTTCTCTCTGACAATCATCCTCTCAGATGCCCAGTTTAGCTAAGGACTTTCTACCACAGCTCATGAAACCATTGGTTGTTTTATGTTTTGTAAGTAACAAAGGAAAAAGTATGGCTAACTTGAAGTGCACAGAGCTTCAGCGAATGAATTCTTTTCTTTTCTCAGAACCTGTGTGATTAGGCAGGCCCACAAAATAACAGAACAGCTCATCACTAAGTCAGTTGAACTGGTGCATTCATTCGGCATTATAGTGTTTAAAAAGCAATGAATACACCTTCTTGACCCAGGGGCTACAATTTAGATTGTGGTCATCAAACACCAAGATTTGAGAAGTTGTTCCCATTTCATCCTTGTGAAGGGCAGTTGGTGCTCAGGATCAGCACAGCTATGGTTATTGACCAGGTTGTCACACCTGGGATGATCACGGTGCATGTGGACAGGGAAGTGCTAATTAGACGTGACCTGGGTCTTTACCCTTCCATGGAAGGAGGTGACATCCTTCAGCTGGTGGCTCAGGCCCCTCCTGGTGCAGCACCAGCTTGTTAACAGTTCACAAATGACTTTTGTATGAAGTAGCAAATGCTTTTGGCTCCAGTTTATAAAACAAGGTGTTTGGGTGCTCCCTGGAGGGCGCTTATCCTGGGAGCTGCCCAGGAAAGGTAGGAGGAGGGTGCAGGAGCGGGAAAGGCCTCGACAGCTCCACAGCCCTGCCCGCCCCTCGGCTGCCTCCCCCAGACACAGCTTCCCTCTGAGGAATTCTCTTCCAGTGCTGAGATCGGGAGGCAGTGTGCTGGTGTTGCTGCCTCCCAGGGTGAGGCTTCCACAGGGTGCTGGCTCCTGGAAGTGGGTGGCCCTTACTCCATGAGGCCCAGGGAGCCCCAGCGGGTGCTGTGTGACAGACTGTGGGAGCCCCTATATGAGCCTGTTTGGCCTGTGCAGCCCACTTAGGGGCACCCCAGAGCACCTGCTCTACAAACTCACTTGCTTTGTGAGACATTTTCACACAGAGGGGCCAAGCCCTTAGCTGCACACAGACACTGGACATGGTTTTTAAGTAGAAACTCACAGAAAGTGACGATCAGATGCAGGGGACATGGATAAACCCATCCTGCAGACCTGGTGGGGCAGACTTCGGGCAGGCTGCATCAGAGTCTGGGTCTGCCTGCCCGTTACAGCCTTAATTCAGGCCGTCCGTCCTCCCAGAAGGAAACGGCTGCTAGTGCCTAAAAACTGTGGGCCTTGTATTTAGAACGGGTAATGTCACAGAACTACAGGAATGTGTCATGCAGGGCAGGGGAGGCCCCCAAGTGCTCTCTTGTTGTCATTTTCTTCATATCGTGGGGATACTAAGTTGTGCTTTTGTAAAAGCTGCTTTCATTGGTTCTTGCCAATTCTGCCATACCAGTCGGAGTCCTAGCAATCCAAGATTCCTCTGGAACAGCATTATGAAGATGCAGGTCACCCCTTGTAGAGGATGCTTAGTGATTAACTTTTTAAACAGAAACTGCTTTATAACTTCTTCTGACAATAAAGTAATACATATATGTGCACCACTGTAGGTGGTACCAAAGCAGATTATTAAGAAGTGAAAGTCACCCATAACCCACCATCTAAACACTCAGAGCACTCGGGTGTTTTCATTCTAGATCTTGTCACTACTTATACATATGACTTTTAATATCCTTTCCTTTTTAAACTTATCATAGACCTATTTCCTTGTTAATAAATAAAGATCCACAGTATTTTAATCATTGCACGGTCTGGGTGACCATGCCTCCTCCCTTCCCGACGGACGTTCAGGGCCCTCTGGTGGATAGTTCACAAAATATAAGACTTTTTTGATTGGTTGGTTGTTTCTACGGGAGTTTTCCTCTGTCCGTTTTTGGAGACCTAGCTATAAAGATGTCTGCCGTCTAGTCAGAGAGCAGGGGAGCCCAGAACCTCACCCGTGCTGGGTCGGGAGAGCCCAAGGGCAGTTCCTTCCCCCTTCATCACAACAGGCCTGGCGTACTGGAAAGTGTGTATTGAAAAATCTGTCTGTGTCCTTCCAGGACTGGGTCATGGTTCTCTGAGGTCTCAGGTTTTAAAGAGAAAGATGAGGCCCCCAGAGAGCTCACAGCCTAACCCCGCGAAGGCAGGACTAGAACCCGAGACTGACTCTCATGCTAGGCTCGCAGCCACACCTGTTTTTATTAGGTTAAAAAGAGAAAACGACAAAACCCTAATTCTTGAAGAACAATTCATAAATGGGATTTTTGTCTCTTTAAAAAATAATTGCCCCTTTGTTTTCAACACTTTTATTTCTAGTGGTGTCCACTCTTTTTTTTTTTTAATTTTTTAATATTTATTTTTTAGTTTTCGGCGGACACAACATCTTTGTTGGTATGTGGTGCTGAGGATCGAACCCGGGCCGCACGCATGCCAGACGAGCACGCTACCGCTTGAGCCACATCCCCAGCCCCCCACTCTTTTTTTTAACCAAAATGTTTCTGGAATCATTTTCAAATGCTTACCCGTCTTTGAAGTGGTGTCCTTTGTCTTGTGGGCCTAGCTTTTTGGGACTTTCAATCCTTTGCTAGTTGACTTTCTTAAATACAAGTGGGGGAGTAGGTCCTGCAACTTACAATGGTTATTTTATGCAGGTTATTGTGAATTTAGAATCCCTCAGTGCAAGTTCCTTTCTGAAGTGGGAGGTTCCTTTCTTAAACCAAGGATGAGAGTCCTGGCCTAATTAGCCTTGGGCCACTTTCAGCCCCCTGTGGAGTACTATAGATTATTTCAAAGGAAGAAGTAGGTTTTACTGTCCCTGAGGGCACTTGGCTCAGCCTGACTCTCTATTCCTTCCCTGAATGGCTCCTCTCTAGTAAAACTGGAGGGTAAAGGCCGCCAGAAAATGCATCTATCTGCATTTCCCTCTGTGGAAGTAACAGAGCTTCTTTGCTAGCCCATTTCCATACTGAGATGATGCTCAGGAACCACCCTGGTGGGGTGACAAGAGCAGCCTAGGAGTGTATTTATAGAACTATGGGCTAATATTTAGAGAAGTAATACAGCCAACATTTATTAGGCACCTGCTGTAAGCCAGACACCCTCTCCCCTACCCCCTACTGCACTGAGCCTGGAAGCCCCCTGCAAGCCAGCTGCTTCCACAACTGAGACTCAGCCCCACTCAGCCTTGGCCCCAGGCACGCTGGCCCCTCCCGAGGTTCTCCTGGTTTCCACTTCGATCCGTGGGCCTCAGTTTCTTGCTTTGGAGACAGGTTGTTGGAGGGCTGCGGTGCAGGCTTCCTCCACCTGGGCTTTCTGAGGCCACATGGAGCACCACCTTCCTGCTAGGAAGATCCTCTCCCCCTCGAGTCTCACCACCACAGCTGCTGCCCCTGTCCCCTGCCAGCCCTGGTGTCCCTGATGGCTGGAGGACACCGGAGCTGTACAGAAAGCCCCCAGAGGTCCTCGAGCTCACGCTGAGATGCCAGCTCAAGAGCAGGCAGTGCCCAGCAGGACAGGGCCTTGCAGAAAGCACAGAGGGTGCACAGGGCTCAGGTGCCTCCTGTCCGGGTGGGAGAGGCCTGCTGTGAATGGTTATCACTTATTCATGACTAGCACCCAAAATAGCTTGTTACAACTACCTGACAACTCCCACCTGGAGCTGGGTGCTGTTTTTCCAGATTCTAAAATTATTACCCTGTCTCCATAGACTGTGTTCAGCTGAAAGAGAGGCCTGCTTTTGATAGCCCAAGAACACACCAGTTCCCCACGCTGAGGGATCACAGTGAGCCCGTGCTCTGGTCAGTGCTGTCACGGTGCTTCTTTTTTTTTTGTTTTAGTAGTAGATGGACATAACTTTATTTATTTATTTTTATGTGGTGCTGAGGCTCGAACCCAGTGCCTCCCGTATCCTTGGCAAGCGGGATACCTCTGAGCCAGAGCCCAGCCCTGTCACAGTGCTTCTTGTTACTGCGGCATGATTCGGGTTCAGCCCTCCTCTCAACACCGACCTGGAGCAGGATGAGGTCCTTGGACTTGCACATGTCGTGCATGAGTTCAGATGTGAAGCAAGAACCTAGCTGACTGGTGAGAGGGCAGGGGGGTCTGCCCAGGGCGGTCCTGGCAGAGGAAACAGGCTGTGCAGAAGCCCTGTGTTGGAGGGTATGGCAGTGCTGGTGGGGTTGAGTGGGGCAGGCGACCAGGCGAGCCTCTGGACCTGTGGGCCTCCGTCCCAGGAGCATGGAGGTATGCAGTGTGAGCAGAGTTGTGCTTGGGACGAAAGCATGGGTGAGGGGGTGCACACAGGGAGGTGCTGAGGAAAGGGTGTAGCTCGAAGAGGGGAGCAGATGGGACTGGCCTGGCTGAGCCAAATGCCGCCCCTGTTCCCTGTGCAGGACAGCTTTGTCGCTGACTCAGCCTGGCCTTGGAGAGGATGAGGGTGAACGTGCCCCTGGCCCTGGACAGAGCACCTGCTGGGACAGGGATGAGGACGCGAGTGCTGGGGGACACCCCACCCTTTCTTCCTAAGCCAGCCTGCTGCTGTGGGGAGGCACCGACTGGGCCCTGAACGCCCACCTTCACCCGCTGCCTGGGAAGCCGACAGGAGGGGCAGGACCGCGTGTCTCTAGAGATGGTCAGCAGGTCCTTTTGGGTTGTGTGATTCCTGACCTGGGTGCAGAGGGACCGGCTTCTCAGGGGGTGTGCGGTGCTGCAGGTGGCCCTACGGCAGGGCAGCTGCACAGCTCGGGTGTACGCGGGGTAGGGGGTGTCCACGGGGCCTTCTCCTCTCCTCCCTCGGAGGAGGACTGTGAAATGCATGACCTCAGTGTGGAGCAGCACTTCATGTCCGCACAGGAGAGATGGTCCATTATGAAAATCATTAGGTCATCATTTATACATGAGTGTCCTGAAGAGAGGAAGGAACATTGCCTGGATCAGGGAGAGAATTAACTCGCTGTGGATGGGCCATCTGTCCCCATGCTGGCAGAGAGCTGTCAGTGACGCAGGCCCTGCATCTCTGAGGCCTTCCATTAAGGGCACATTGTCACTAGGAATGATGGCAGAAGTCTCCCCAGAGACAGTCAGCCAGGACTTCAGAGCCATCTCCACAAAATGTGGCCTGGAACCTTCTCAAGACTTAATTTTCTGGACATGGAGAATGAACTGTAGGTGAGGAGAAGTTTCGGATCCATGAATTTACCTCAGGGAAAGTTGCAGATGAGGCTCTTCCAGCCATGGTCGGGTAGCCCGGTCCTGAGGGCCTCTGCCCTGGCTGCCGCTGGAGTCCTGGGGGGGAGACGGCAGAGCTGGGTGTCGCACCCCATGGGGCCGGTTACCTGCCGCAGAGACAGGACCTCATGATCAGAGGAGGCCGGTGTCCAGACCACACTGCCTCTGGGGAGCAAAGGACTGTGAACTGTTGGGGCCCCAACGGTACAGAGAGACCAAGCTGGGCGCTCGAGGTAGAAACTGCAACGTGTGCTCTTCTGACCCAAGACGCGCTCTGTGACCTTGCCACTGCAGCCACAGGAGGCCACCTTCGTCTGCGGTGGGCACCCTGCATCTATCTGGGCCTTCATCCACCACACCGACCCTCTGGGGCTCCGTGGTGAATGCTCCACCATGTCTCAACCCCCAACGTCTCAGGTACTGAGGGGGCATGGCAATGAGGTAATGAGGCCACCTACTAGCGGGTAGCATGAGGGTCTTGGGACCTGTGGGGTTCCACTCGGAAATTAGCGCCTGGGCAGGCGGCCCTGCACCCCGGGAGCTTATTGCCACGGCACAGAAGCCTTGCTGCACTGCCAAGAGACTGCCCCAGCTCTGCCCAGCAGCGTCCTGTGTGCTTCAAACACCGCCATCATGAGCCACCAGGCAGCTCCGTGGGGTCAAGGCCTGAAACTCAACTGGAAGTTGCCTCGCAGGCTCCCTGAAGTCAGAGTCTGGTTCCTCTCCACTCCTCTGAACTGCGCTGACGAGAGCCTCCTAACACCTGCCTCTTCTACACAACAGTGGAGACTTCCCTTTGGAAGATCCTAGAAGCACAGCAGGTGACAAGCCCTCAGAGCTCGACTGGCCTCTCCCATTAGTCTCTGCTGTCCCTCGTTGTCTTTCCCTAACTCTGATGTCCTCCTGTTTGTCTTTATCGTGGTTCTTTTGAGGGTGTGTCATTTCCACTTCTCCAGCTCTGGTGACTGTGTGAATTGTGTGCTCCATGTTTTCCAGCTTGCCCCCAGGGAGGGGCACATGGCCTCTGTGCCGAGTGGCCTGTGTGAATGGAGTGCACACCTGAGGTTGCAGTGACGAACCCCTCTTGGCTCCAGAGCCAGAACGGGAATATATTGCTGGCCTTACAATTAACAAAGAGCAGTCGGTGTCATCCAAAGTGGTGACAGCCTGGGTGTGCTGTCATCTCCTAAACCAAATGCTGAGTTGTCATGACGGGATGGTGCCCCTCACACCACCCCACAGATGTTACACTCTGGAAGCATTTGAGAAGTGGCAGGTCCTGTAGGGAGGGTTCTCTGGCAGAGCAAACCAGGAAAGACGCCCGTGCAGACCTGCTTTGCAGAACCATCCGTGTCTGCAGGGCTCCCTCCCAGGCTCCCAGCCCACATTCTGTCCTTAGCACTCTCAGTGTTTTGCAAGGTGTCTTGAATTACTTTGCTAGGTTTTCCAGAAAGATTGACTTCACCGCATTTCTCAAGTTACAGTAAGGCAGAGAATCAGGCCCTGAGTGAGCCTGGGGTGGGGAGGGGGCAGGGAGTGGGGACAAACCCCAGACTCCTAAAGCCACCATGTGGCCCACAAGATATTCCCAGGAAGGGCCGGGCTGCTCTCAGCTCTGCTCACTGCAGGGGTGTCCCTCATAGTTCTGCCCACTGTTGCCCTGAAACCTGGCCAGCTCCGGGTGCCACCTGAAGGAACCAGCAGCCTAGTCCCTGCACCATGTGCTTTGGAAGGCCGAGTTGGTGCCTCCCTCTCAGGAGCTCTCCCAGTAGCACTTTGGGTCAGTCCCTGCCCACTGAGGCCAGATGTGTAGAGCATGGGACTTGGAATCGGGACACTGGATTTTAATCTCTACTCGTCCCACACTGGCTGTGGGACCCAGGCTTGCTCATCCACTCCCCACAGCCTGTTTCCTTCCTAGGATTGTGAAGTGGCCTGGACCCCCTGGGGTGACTCTGTTCACCAAGCCTGGTGCCACTGTGCACATGGCGAGGCCTGGCACAAGGCAGGTGTCCTGAGAGTGGAGCTCCAGCCCTGCACAGGGGTCACAAGACAGAACAGCCCTGAGGGCCAGAGCCCCCACAGGCTCTGCCTTCCGGCCCCACCTCCTGCCACTGCCCCAGGACCCTCATTATGGAGACAGTGACCAAGGTCTGTGTTTCCTGCAGGTCACCTGGATGTCAGCATGGCAGCCACGAACCTGGAGAACCAGTTGCAAAGTGCCCAGAAGAACCTCCTGTTCCTGCAGCGGGAGCATGCGGGCACGCTGAGGGGGCTACACGCGGAGATCAGGCGGCTGCAGCAGCACTGCACGGGTACCTCTGGGCACGCAGGCGGGACGCGCCCTGGGCCGCAGAGCCCCACAGAGCAGCCTCAACATAGGGGCCCCGCTGCAGCCAGCCGCCCTGTGCTGTAGCGCTCAGCACTGTAACAGAGCCCCCTGGAATGCTTCCCTCAGCACAAAGAGCAGGAAGCCCGAGGCCTGACTTGGGATCCTGGGGACTGGCAGGACTGGCTGTGGCTCACACCGTAATCCGAACAGAGCCTGCGGGACACGTGGAGCGAGCTGCTCCCAATTTCTCACTGTTGGGAGGTGGCTGAGGCAGATGGGAAGGAGGCTTTTGGGGAAAGCAGTGTCCCTGAAGCCCAGCAGGCTCAGCACTATTGCTGTCACCGGTGGCTCCTAGAGCCCTGCTTGCTCTGCAGAGCTGAGGAATGTGGGGAATGGCGAGGAAGCTGATGTGTGAACTTTCCTTTTCAGATCTGACATATGAGTTGACACTGAAGAGTTCTGAGCCGACAGGTAAGGGCCTCCCTAAAAGCCGGTGGGTATCATTGCCTCTGCTGCACGTGGGTGCCGCTCGTTTCCATCCACCATGTGCCTAGAGCAAAACACAGCTCCATGGAGGGCTGCGTGTGTGGCCAGAGCTCTCAGTTGTCTGTGGGGGGGGACAAGTGAATGGATTACCTTTTCATTGACACATCTATTTAGAATGTCTATCGTATGCTTTTCTGGATTTTCTGATTTTTTCCACAGTGAATATACAATCTTCTATAATCAGAAAATAAACCTGAAGTGATTTCTCCAGAAAGAAAGGAGACCAGGAGGAATGTGAGGCAGAGCAGTTCCAGGCCCTGTGCCAGGGCTGTCTTCATCCTGGCTGGGCACAGCCCCTAGACCACCCTTCTCTGGACTACAGTCCCAGAAGTACTTCCCCAACCAGAACCCTTGGGGACACCCATGGTGTCAGCCCAGTGGCAGCAGCAGAAGAGGCAGGAGCCAGGGTCCTCCCAGGGCCTCCTGCATAGCAAACAGCTGCTCCCAGCACAGGGCAGGACTGGGAAGGTGCAGACCCACTCCAAGGGACACTGCCTAACCAGGCTTCAGGGTGCAGTTGGCCTTGGTTGGAGTCAGATCCACACCAATTTTTCCACTTTGATCCTTGTGTTCCTGTCTCCTGAGTGCTCCTCTCACCATTTTGAGTGTGGTGTCCTCTCACCATTTTGAGTGTGGTGAAGGGGCCTTGGGACAGGAGCCTGCCTTCCAGATGAAAGGTCCCAGGACCACCCCTGCAGCCCCCAGGCCAGAAGCTGGGCCCCAGAAATTCAGAACAGGATTTCTGCATGACTTCAACCTGCCATAATGGAAGCCTCTGGAAAAGCGCTGCCCATGTCCTGGAAGCGCGGACGTCCTTGCCCCTCCCGTCTCTGTCCAAACTAATCTGCAACAACACAGGGCTGGTCCAGTGGCTCTCAAGCCTGCCCCAAGGGAACCCACCCACCCAAGGCCACATGCCTGGCAGCGCTGGCTCTCAGCCATGTGTGTGAGGTGCGGTGGGGAGGGCTTGGAGCAGCCTCCTGGTGCCTCTGGTAGGCATCTCCCTCCCCAGGGATGCAGCTCACCCCAAACTTGCCTAGCCCTAGGCAGTTCAAGACGCAGGTCATAAATGAGCCTGCCCTGCAGGCAATTCCCAAGGTCTGGCAGGAGCTGCAGACCTGTGTGTTTAAGAGGTGCCTCGGTCACAAGTGTTCAGGAAGGCCTGGAAATGCTGCTTTGGGTGACAAAGCAATTACCACCGCAGGAAATGAAAGTTCTAGAAAGGGTGGTGTGGCAGGTCAGTCGCACCAGCTCCTCCCCTGGTAGCACCCAGGTGGCCCAGGAAACATCACCGAGTGCCAAGCCAGCCCCCAGAACAGCATGGTGTGGCTGATCTCAAGGACGGTAAGGGCAAAGTGCAGAACAGCCGGAGGTGGGTGGCCACAGAGCGCACCTTACCAGGACCCTGGATTGGGGCAGGCTGTCACAGAGGGGTTGTGTGCCTTTGGCAAGGTCTCTAACATTTCTGGGCATGTGTCTCCATCCACAGGCCCCAAAGTTAGGTTTCTGGCTGACTCCCAAGGGCCTGCTCTCCAGGGCTGCCCCCCAGCTGCCCTGTACGTGCAGAGCCCAGGGCAGGCTGTGGTGTCAGACAGGCCTCTGCAGTGTGGCCTGGGGGAAGACAAATCCTGAGATGTTCATGTCCAGCTGGAGAGGTCACACCCACCTGGGAGGGAGGCAAAGGCCAGCAGTCCATGTGGGGGCTGAGAGTGAGGGCCCCACGTGGGACACGGGTGGGCACTGAGTCTGAACGCTGTGGTCGAGGTCAGCATTTCAGTAGCAAGGGCTCAGCCCAGGCAGCCGGGCGCCCAGGTCTTACAGGAGGCTTTATGTGTCCGTCACTCTCCTTACCTCTAAAACTGCACTTCAGAATGCATTGTTTTTCTTGTCGGCCAAAAAACCCAAAACACCTTATGGGAGGTAGTATTGCCTCCGCCCTACCCGGGGGAGGCCATTTGTGACCGTGCACAAGCACAGGCACACCTGTGTTCCGCAGCGGTGAGCTCAGAGCACACAAGTGCTGGGCACAGAGCAGGTGTGGCTGCCTCACTTCACACGGTTCAGAGCCCAGCTGGCGAACGTCCTGCAGAAGTGGTGGCTAGGCAGGGGGCGCCAGGACACAGACCTGCCCCGGGAAGCAGCCGAGGCTCCAGGGAGACATGCAGCCTGCCTCTAGCGCCAGGCAGGCCCTGGGGGCATATGAGAAGATGGGCCTGTGGGTCAGGAGTTAGATCGATGATGGCGGTCACGATAAAGATGGCCCAAGGAGGGGAGTCGTGAGAGAGCAGATGACACGGACAGGAGGAACTAGCAGTCCAGCCGGCAGTGTGCATTCTGCTAGGCAGGGAGGAGCAGGCTTTAATGGGGGGTAGAAGGGTGGGGAGCAAGTATCCCCGCACAGGGTGGGTTGGAGGAGATCAGAGAGGAGGCAGCACCCAGCCAGGAAGCAGCAGTGGCAGGGGGCAGAGAAGAGACATGTCCACTGGCCAGCTGACAGAGGCTGTCTGTGAGCCAGGAGGGAAGGAAGAGCAAGGAGGCTGTGGAGTCCCAGGTGAGGGCGAACTGGGGACGTGCAGACCCAGCAGAGACAGGCTGTGCACATGTCTGTCAGGCTTTCACAGAGGCCATGCTCTACCCAAGGTGAGTTTCTCAGTCAGCATCTAGAAAGAACCAGAGAGCTCACATGCTTCCCAGGGGCCAGATGGCATGGGAGTGGGGTGAGGACACTGTTGTGACACTGAGTCAGCATGTATGAAGCAAAGCTTGAGGGTGGAGGGCAGGTCCCTAGGGGCAGGCTGTAGCCGCAAGACAGTGCTAGGGTAGGGCTCTACAGGGGCGTCTGAGCCTGAGAGGAGTCACACAGACCCCTGGCCAAGGAGATGCAACGGCCCGACTTCCCTTCTCTTCAGATCAGACCTTACTGAGTTAGACTGGACAGTGCTCTTGACATTTCAGTTTCAAAACAGCACTTTGCAGCAGGCACTTGACAAGCGGTTCCTGAGTGACAGGCAGGGGGACCTGGTAACAGCTGAATCCCTAGCCCCTGGTGAGGCCAGTGCTCTGAAGTGGCCCACTTTAACATCGGCGTTTTCAAGATCTGAGACAGGCTTCTTGCAGCGAGCCCAGGGACTAGGAGCCCCGAGGGCCGCAGGGAGCCCCCATCGGTGAGGGCAGGGCCTCCCGCCGCCTGGCCCTGGCGCTCACCCGCCTCCGTCCGGCTCGCAGGGTTCTCACTTTGGCCCCCTGACTCCCTCGCAGGAGACGGCTCTTCCAGAAGCGCTGAGCTGAAGAGACGATGTGAGGACCTGGAGGCCCAGCTGAAGGCCAAGGAGGATGAGAACAGGCAGCTGCTAGAGGAGCTGGGGCAGAAGAGCGCCCTGATGGCGGTGCTGGAGAACACCCTCAAGGAGCGGGAGAAGAAGTACCTGGAGGAGCTGAAGGTGAAGAGCCACAAGCTGAGCCTGCTGTCGGCCGAGCTGGAGCAGCGCGCCAGCACCGTGGCATACCTGACAGCGCAGCTGCACGCTGCCAAGAAGAGGCTCCTGAGCTCCAGTGGCACCTCAGACGCCAGCCCAGCTGGAGGCACCCCGCTGGCCAGCTACAAGCCCGCGCCCCCCAAGGACAAGCTGCCCGAGACACCGCGCCGCCGCATGAAGAAGAGCCTCTCCACCCCGCTGCACCCCGAGTTCGAGGAGGTCTACAGACTGGGGGCCGAGAGCCGCAAACTCCTCCTGCGCGAGCCTGTGGACGCCATGCCTGACCCCACCCCGTTCCTGCTGGCCCGGGAGGCGGCCGAGGTCCAGCTCATCAAGGAGCGGCCGCTGGTCATCCCGCCCATTGCCTCGGACCGCGCGGCAGGCGGGCAGCACAGCCCAGCCCGCGAGAAGCCGCACAAGGCCCACGTCGGGGTGGCCCATCGCATCCACCATGCCAGCCCCCCACAGCCCCAGCCAGAGGTGGAGACGCTGGCCGTGGACCAGGTGAACGGAGGCAAGGCAGTGCGGAAGCACTCAGGGACGGACAGAACTGTGTGACCGTGGCCCGCACTGTCCACGCACCATGAGCGCCACAGGGAACCCCACCGCACCTTTTTCTTTACCTCCCACGCATGCCAAATTGTTTTCAGACCTGTCCACCAACTCTCCTGCTCCTCCTGCCCCACGCTGCAGACGCCACAATACGACCGTGTCCTTGCTGCAGAATGCATAATCTACTAACGCTGTGGCCACCACCCACGTGCCCAGCCGCTTGCTTCCAAGCCCACTCCGTGTCGTCCAGGCGCACTCGTGGACAGGCACCGGCCACAGGATGCACACTGCGCCACGTCCTCGGAGCAGACGGGCACGCGCCTGAGTGTACAGCCAGCCACGCACAGCGACCTCAACCACCCTCCAGGGCAGCCCGTGGAGCAGCCGCTCCCTCTGGAGACCCCGCACCTCCCTCCTCCTCCCCCGGGTGGCACTCGTCACCGAGCAGCTGTATGTAGATGTCCAAAGGAACTAAATAAGATGACGTTGCTCTTCATGTCACCACAACCTGAATGTGTGTTCATATTTTTTGTTAGTCTTACCCAAAATGTTCCAGATCCCAACAAACTTTATTTTCTAAACCTGCCTTCTTTCTGTTCTGTGTCTTTTATTAAACCACCTGGGGGAGGGCCGGGAGGGAGCCCGGGTGGGGGAGAGAGCGCCCATGGTTAAGGACAGACGTCCTGCTGCCAGGTGCCAGTCCCTAGAGTTCTGGAGAAGCTACTTTTGCCTTTTGTCCAACTAGCTGTCGGCCACCCCTCCCCTGGTGAAAAAGCAAAGCTTCTTCTCCAGCTGGGCCTGGAGCCAGCCTCTTGGGCCCAGAAGGAAAGGACACCAATGGCCGCTGGTCCTGGAGGTGCTAAGTCTGCACCCAGCCGTGCACAGACCCAATGGGTTGGGCAAGGAGCTCGACAGCCCCACAGACCCAGCAGGCAAGAGGGCGCTGGAGGGGGGAGATGGCCGCAGGTGACTGGCTGTCACACACTGGGTGTCATGTGCATCAGCTCACGGGGGCACTGCCTGACCCTCAGTAGCCTCAGCCCTCTGGGCTGACACCTCTGAGAGAGGCCCCTGCTTGGACAGAAGCCCCTGTGGGAGTCAAATGAGGGGCTCACTCTGACTCTTAGTGTGGACTTTCTCAATACAGAGAATCCTTTAAAAAGCAATTTGGGGCTGGGGCAGGGGCTCGGGGGTGGAGCATTTGCCTAGCCTGTGAGGCCCTGGGCTCAATCCGTAGCACTGCATATAAATAAATAAAGGTCCACTGGCAACTAAAAACAAATATGTATATATTTTTTAAAAGCAATTTAAAAAATACAACCATTGAGTTAATTTAATGGAAAAAGATTCAAATACTGATTTTAAATGAAAGGAAAATCAGGGTCATCCTCCCTGCCCCCAAGGCCCCCCAAGGAACGACAGGACTGAGGGCTCTTCAGGGAGCAGCAACACTCAAGACTAGAACTCACGCATTGCCCTGGTTTCCTTCACCCCAGGGTTAGTCGCTATTCAGGGTGAGGCAGACCCCCTGCAGCACCCAGTGAGAAATGTGCCTGGTGGTAAAGAGGTCGGCCTCGAAGACCAGGCCGACCCCCATGGCGTTCCTTCTCATGGAGGTGGTGTAGACGGGCGTCCGGAAGGTGTTCTGCAAGGGAAGGGCAGGTGAGCAGTCGTGGAGGAGGAAGCTCAGGGCTGGAGAGAGGTTCAAAGCTGGGACCTGGCCCAGGCCACATAGGGGCTCTTGCAGCCCAACCAGATGCAACTACTTCCTGCCTCAGTGTCTGCAGAATTTCACAGGAAGGGAGGAAGGAGTCCCCACACCTCAGGTCTGAACTGCAGCCTGACACCTGTGCCCGTGGCTATTATCAGGTCCCCAAGGCTTCCCCAACCCCACAGAGGTTTCCAAAGGCCTGACAGTGGAAAGCACCTCATCTACCCCCAGGTCAGAAGGGAAGGTGCTGGAGAGGTAGGAAGGCTTCACCTGCAGCTTCAAGCGGTGCACCTCAATGGGGATGATCTTCAGGATGGGCAGGTCCACAACCAGCACCTTGGGTTTGCTCTTGATCAGACATCCCCTTTCTATGTCCCAGTCAGCACCTTCTAGGTATAGTCCCGAGACAAAGCACCCTGGAGACAGTAGGGACAGGCCCAGATAAACAAGGAGGCCTCCGCCACCCTGCCAGTGGCCACTCCAGTGGTCACGCGGGTGGAACAGGCACACAACCTCTGCCCCGCCTCCTCACACATGCCTGGAACACAGCCAGGCCTTTCTCCATCACCTCTGCCCTGCCTGCCTGCCTTTGTAAGAGGAACAGTGGGCCACAAAGGAGTGGGCACAGGGTGGGCGCGCAGCCTCAGACCACCATGGGTGCTCAAGCTGCAGAGTTGAGTAGCACCAGGTCAGAGCTGGCAACCCAGCTCCTGGTGAGCCACAGAGGCTAGGGAGCCACAGAGAAAGTGCTCTCTGGGGTGACAGGCACATGAAGAAGACAATCCTTTAGCCCCAGAGAGTGGCAGCCAGACACGTGCCTTGCCTCTGAGCCCTGGCTGGGCTTCTGCCGCTGCCACCTAGGAGCTGCACCTTAAACCCCTCTCATGAAGCGGCAAGGGGGGTTCACTCCTTGCAGTTAAATGGCCTCTGGCCAAGGCCCCAGGGAAATGTGATTTCAGCTATTATTTTCATAGCAGTACTCAATGTCTTAGGGATCTGAAATCATGGTATAATATAATGGTTCCAACAGTTAGCCCATGCTGCCCTCTGGCTCCCCCCGTCCCTGGCCCCTGGAGGTTTATAGGGAAGCCACCCAGTGACCTTTGCAAGAACTAATTCTGACCTAGGAGCTCATTTCCCACAGGCTAGCATCGCGCCCAGGCCTCCCCTGACATTAGCTCCAGGGCTCTCAGGGACACAGGTACTGGCCTCCTGGGCAGCAGGAAAGGGCACACGGACACAGTGATTTTTAAACATGGCCAGCCCATTGTGCCCCATACTGCAAATGCCCTTTGAATTCTGGGTGGCTCTGGGGGAGAAACCCCAAATAAGAGGCCAAGACTCCCTAACAAGCCAACCGTACCTTGTCCTGCCCGCTCATTCACCTCTTCTGCATCTTGGAACTTGGTCACTTGTGTGAACAGGGTGGACCGGTCCAGCGGCCAGCCATTCTTCCGGCAGGTGGCCTGCACCAGGGCTGTGAGGTAGGACTCTGGGATTTGCAGCCCTGACAGCCACATCACAGGAGGCTCACCCTCATTGACCTGGAGAGAGGCAGGCAAGTGGTAGGAGCCAGGGCCACTGTCAGACGCCAGGGTCAGAGCTGGTCATGGAGGGTCAGCACAAGATAAAAGATGTATTCCACCTTGGCAGCAAATTGATGGTGCTGGCTTTGGTGGCCCACTGGGGAAAGGAGCTGGACCGTCACGTTCCAGGTGGGTTCAAACATAGCCACAGAAGGACCCAATCAATCTCCAGTAAGGTTCTCATCATCTTCAGGTGGGGAGCCCCAAGCCCAGGCACCATTACAGGCCACTGATGTTTGACCACATGAAAACCTAAAACTCTTCTGTGGAAAGGGTGCCACAGTCAAAGTCGAAAGGCTCTGGATGAGCTGGAGGAGCATGTACAACCTGGCGCCCAGAGGCCAACTCCTCTGATCCACAAAGAGCCCTTCAGCACCAGCGGAAAAGATGGAGTCCTCAGGAACAGCACAACTGAGAACCAAAACACAGCCCAAGAAAAATAAACGCAGACTGTGCAGAAACTCGTAAGATACACTCAGCCCACCACAGCTAGAGAAATGCAGAACAAGACAATCCACAGCAGTTTTCACCTGTCAGGGAGGCAGAGACCCAAAATATGGGGGGCTTCCCCTCCTCTAGAAAACCTCCTGACCACCAAAACCTGAAGGCACAGTCCTCAACCCTTCCCCCGCTGGAATGGACTCGTGAATACACTGGTGTGAGCATCCACAGACGTGCGTGCCAGCATGTTGCACAAACACACCACCAGAAACACGGGAAGTGACCACCTTGACGCCCATCGGAAGGAGAGTGGATGCCAAATATCTGTGAGGCATGATGCCTCAGTTCCCAAAAAGAGCCAGTGGGATTAGGGTGTGCTGGGCCAGAACGAGGCTCGAGGCTCACCCAAGTCGGGGTGCCCAAGTGAGCATGGGATGCTTCAGAGTCAAAGACGACGCAGGAAAAGAGCCCCACGTGCTTGTGGGACCCAAGGACATTCCTATGGCAATATTAACTCCTGCAGAGGTTGCTTCTGGGGACAAGGGCGGGGAGGCGGCTGAGGGAGGCAGGGTGGCTCCCACTTACCCACAGCGTGTACTGGCTGAACCGCCGCAGGAAATAGATCATCCAGTTCCCCAGGGACTTCAAGGTGTCCGGGGCCAGCTTCCTCCAGATATTAGGGATATGCCCAATAAAAAGAGACCTGGCGACATCATCTAGCTCATTGCTCATTCCGACCTCTCCAGCCAGGGCCTGTTGTGGAATCGAGAGCAACAGGCAGACTGCAGCAGAGATGCAGGAGCTGCAGGCCAACAGCTGGGCACACAGGGAGCAGCGCTCACCCTCTGAAGCTCCGCCAGAGACTTGCTCATCCGTGTCACGAGCTTGTTGAAGCGCCCCAGCTCCTGCAAGAGCACCACCGTGGTGGGCGTGATCCCTACACCCAGGTACTTCCGGATCTGGTCCAAGTCGAACACCTTGGGCATCTTGTTTTGGATGTCCTTGGCCACCTGGCTGATGTAATCATCGCGGCTGATGCCACTGCTGGATTCCCCTAAAAACCAGGACAAGTTTAGGAAAGCGAGCCATCTGGGTGGAGGAAGGCACGTCCCAAGCCCCTTAGTTCTTGGGAAGGCATCAGCCATGTGGGGAAGCTAAAAAAACCAACCAGGAGCCCCGAGCAGACGCCCAGGCCCTGACCAAGTTAAGGAGCCCCCAGAGCTCACTTACCCGTCTGTGGCTGCAGCTCCAGCAGGTGGGCCCACATGTCCCGAGCTGCCTGTGTGTAATACCCAATCTCGGCGTTGGAATGAAGGCCAAACACCTCAGGTGTGTTGGCAAGCGGGAGCGCCTCGATGGCTTCTGGAACCCCAGAGAACGGAGGCTGTACTGTCACCTGCCCTTGTTCCCAAGGGCCCACAGCACCCAAGTTCCCAGACGAGCAAGACTAATTTCCACGACTGAGTGGGCCATGTGTTTTTAAATAAAAATCCCAAACCAGCATGCACAGCAGTTCTCTGTTACAGAAATGAGCTGTGAGCTTCCCAGGGCCGCTATGTCCTTCCGGGTGGAATCAGTGACTGCCTCTGCAGACTAGGAAAAGCCCTCTGGGCTCCTAGCAGGCTGAACAGACCCCACCTGACCAACCAGGATGCCCCACCCCTGTCCTGATCAGAAAAGCCACCAAGACGACCTTAGGAAAGACAACTGTTGGAATTTAGGGTCTCCCCAAAAAGCTTTAAAAATAGCTTTCATATCTGAGAAATCTCACCAACAAATTTATCCTTCACATCACCAATAGGGATTTTGTAGTCCACCTCCTTGTTCCGGAAGAAGTGGAAGGGCTGG